GGAAAGGGCGGGGGAATGTTTCCAAGACGCTGGAAAATCGATACTTACTGCGAAGTATCTCAACACTTGCCGCTCACTGTAGTTTACAAATTCAGTTGTAATCACCGTGGTACAGTAGATTCACACCCTTGTTGTATTTCTGAATGACGCAAATTAGGTGAACGAGACGCTTAAAACTAGTGTTCTTTAAAACGCCAGAACTGTAAAAAGTTCATTCAGCTTCCGTGGTTAAATAAAGTGTTATGTATGCTATATGACTTCTAGTAAGGCTTGGACACTCTCTCTTTTGATCTCTTGCTGTTATGTAATGAGTGGAGTTCTTTTTCTTCTGCAGATGAAGCTGGCTGGCGACATGATGGGAACATTGGCGATCCTCAGGTGATTTTTGCATATTTGTCAGTCACCTTTAGCGACCCGTGCAGTTATTCATGCGGCTTGTCACCTAAGGTTTTCCAACAGGATTGCGTGAATGATTTAAAGAAAGTCTGCACACTTGACTACGTGTGCACTTGACCTCCAGCTAGTCCCCAGTACTAAAGCACTAATGCCAAGGTCCGGAGGTCTGGGTTCTAGTAATTCCTTATTTTGTTACAGTCCTGCAAACATGGCAGGCTTGTCACTTCTAGAGCCCTCCCCTCCCCCCCAAAAAACACACCTCATTCTTTCGTTTTACTTGTACAAGGTGCTGTGTATTTCTCTACTGTGTACAAAGTACATCCCTTGTACGATCGGTCATCGATCCTTTGCAGTCGTCCGTTGAGTCGTCTCGCAGCTTTTGGCGTTACATGGTGTCACATAACGACTCAAAACAAATGAACCTTGTTGACGATGTTACCCTTTTCCGATTTTTTCATTCAAAGAGAAACTAAGCCTCATCGCTCCATGTATCAAGCTGAATTTAGTTTCAGGAGAATCCGTTGCAACCTCATGAAAATATGCGATCCCAAACTTGGAGGTTTTTCAAGTCTCTTTGGAGCTGATGTTTTGCTTGCATGAAAAATACGAAAAATTGTTTATATTGCGAGACATTGTCACAAAGGCCAATTTGTCGCGCTGCAACTGAGGGCTAGCGCTCAAAAATAAAGATCTTCAAATATGCTCTACATTTCTCCAGCTACAATCGCTAGAAGTGCTTGTTACGAAAAAACACTGAAAGGTAATCAATGCTTCCACAGGTTTTATCTTCAGTTCTCTCTGAAGCCGGCTTTGATGGCGAGGCGTTGATAGCAGCAACTCAAGATCAACAAATCAAAGATCAGTTACGAATAAACACTGAAAGGTAATCAACGTGGTGTTATGCAGTACCTCACAAGTTATCATGTTCGACTCAGCAGAGAAATTGTGAAGGTCTTGGTCAGAGGAGAACCAGCTTGGACTCTCTGTTGATCTCGTTTCTCAGCCGGTCTCACCTTGAGTCGACTCTTGTGTTCCCTAATCGAATTTGAACCTGCTGAAATTCTTCGTGAAAGTCTTCTCTCGTTTGATCCAGGCACTCACTGAAATTTTAACGAAACTCCCGCGCAATTCTTTCCTTAAACTCTCGAACACTGTTCGCCTGCAAGCAGGCTCTTCGCGGACAAAGAAAGGAGAGTAAAGGGAAAGAAGAGCCTGCACGCACCGCTTTGAATTCTAAATGGCCCGTCCACATTTCCCCTTTCCTCTCCTCACATTCCCTGCGAAGAGCGTGCTCGCAGGCAAAGTGAAGTTCTGAGAATGCGTTGATTTCCTTTCCATGTTCTCATTACCTCTACCTTGTCAATGTGTTGATTTTTAATTGAGAACTCAGATTTCGATCATTCTTGAAAATTTTAAGAAAACTAGACACCTGTAGCGAATTTTAAATTGCAATCATATAGTCGTCAAGTGGAGCTTAACGACCCGTTCTTTTTTTCGTTCTTGTGTGTAGAGCATTCGCTGCCGGACTGTGTGGGGTTCCAAGCTATCAAGTCAACAATGGATCTGTGGTGTGGGGACAAGATAGACTGAACATTATTGCCGACATGTTGTGTGGTTGGGAAGACCACTTAAAACCAACCACCAGTAACAGCAAACTTTAAAAATAATTCAGTCGATATGTTAGAGCACAGAAACAATATTCCATGCCATACTGAACACAAATGGACGGCTTTGATTGGCTTACACCCTTGATGTCACACATCTAAGAGATCTTACCCAGAATCACCAGCGCACCTCAAAGAATCCAAAGAAACATCTTTGAAGTACATCACTACTGAAACACTGTAATCAAAGTTCTGTTTGAATAATGGCCGTTGAGTGTGCTTTATCTACTGTTGGATAAACGAGTTGCAGTGTTCTATTCCAGTTTCGAGCTGATAAAACAAAGTAACGGCGGAAGTCGCGAGCGGCGCTGAGAAGTCGTTCAATATAACAGCTGATATCTCGACGAATAAATGCTGCCTTATCGCTAAACTGGATTAAACTTGGAGAGAGACACTGGAACGGTGGATTCCACAGTGATTTTCCTCAACAATTTAACTGACACGAGTGAGAGATTGTAGCATTTTAACAATAAAAGCTAATAAAACTGAACTGAAATACATTTCAAATGTGCCATCTTGTCTTATTATTATCCAGTCACATCTTCACGAGTTCAAAACTGTCACCACGTTTTAGACCGTTTTATTGCTTGTTCAAAACTGATTTGTTTACTCTATACACAAATTCGGATACCATATGGTTAGGTTACACAACAAATTCTTATTGTCTAGATAACAGATTCTATTCTACCGATCTACAGATAACATGTGGTCTAGCGACCCTCAAGTCTGTCCACAGACCTGTATTTTTTTTTTTTTTTCGCCTGCAATTGTCAAGGGTGCGAACAAAATAAAAACTGCAGGGTACTGGATCGAACGAGTCCGAGCACACGAAGTTAGGTAACTAAAAAGTGAAACAGCTATGAACAGACTTGGTCTGGTCTAGAAAGTTCTACTGTCAGAAAACAAGTTCACACAACTGACTCTTAGGGTGTGGTCGTTGTCTTGACAACAGTTAAAACAAATTTATAAGCACCAGGTGACCACATTTGGAAAGTGTAAGCGCTATCATATTATTAGGGAGGTTAAGCAACGACGCTGAAGACGACGCCCTCTTAAAAATGATTTTATATTTTTACCTACGAAATTCGCAGTTGTTTAGATCTGTTCAGTACGCCAGTGGCTGTAAAAACGCGCTCAGGCTAAATATGCAATGACAGCGTTCAATTCCAAATGGAAATACGGAAAGTTAGCCGTCAGTTCGCGTTCTTCAGACTACGCAGATCTTAGACATTTCACGTTGTTGTTTGGCGGAGAACGGCAAAGAAATGTACAAAATGTACAACGCACGTGCACAGCTATTGTTTGGTGACGTTCTCGTTGCCGTCCGCGTCGTGGTTTCCTTATGCTCCCTATTATATTATACATTGAACCGTGCCTACGGGTTACTAACTCTTTTATAAAATTTGATCCCCTTACACCCCAAAAAAGATGCTCCGTTCCGTTTTCCACCGAAAGTACATTTTGTGACCAATTCCTCTTAGAAAATCGGTCTGTCCGATAAAAGAAATGTCTTGAAAGTTCCATCTAGCTAAGACCATAGTTATTAGAGGGGAATGGTTTTGAAGCCCGGCAAACATCAAAGGAGCAAACAAAGATGTTAAGATTTATGTTGGAAGGTCCACGACCGTGCACAATCTTTTGTTTTGCGTTGGTACACTATGCATGAGTTACGTAATCAAAACACTTCTATTGGCTAGTTCCTCGGGCAGTGGTAAACAGCTATTGTGTTTTGTGCATGGTCCAAAAAAGCGAACAAAAACATACTACAAAGAACTTTGTCGAGTTTCATAACCATTCCCCTCTATTAACTATGTTAAGACCTACTTCAGACTACATCACAAAAGACAGCGACTTGGTTGGTCGTTTTGATACCAGTTTATACCTGGAAAGTGTTTTAAGTGTGATATGCTGCCTGAAAAACTGTTTTTTTTTTTTTTTTTTACACTGTACTTACAATTCAAGTGGATAGACCAAAAAGAACCAAGTTACACAACTGACCTGCATTCTATTAGAGCACGAGTGTTGCCTGGGTAACAGACCCACTAAAAACATAACTATTCAAAAACCAGTCCCTATGTTATGCCAAAAGTCGTAATCAGTTTCTGTTAAATCTTTCGCAGTCATCATCTCAATAATCGAGATACAACTGTATTCGTTGAAATAAAATCCTGGCACACTGATGTTCAACTTTTTAACGAAGTCTCTGCAGTCCGCTGCAGTCTTCTTCAGTCTTCTTCAGTCTTGGGTCGGTTTGCCAACAGGGTGTCGTGAGTTCGGTCCACTGTGCTGGAGGAGGAGGATTGGGAAAGAATCTCTCTCTGCTCCTTGAGGTCCGAGGCCGATAATTTTGCTCTTTAATTCGTCGAAAGAGCTCGCCTCGGCTAAGACCCTGAGAGCGTAATTCGGAGAAAACTCTTTCACCAAACCACATCTCCCACATCATGAGACCGAAGCTTACATGTCGGCCATCGTGCAGTAGGATTTTTCTTCGTGTACTTCTGGTGCCATGTACAGAATTGTACCACATACGGTTCCTAGGATTCGGTCTTTAAATTTGGCCAAGCCCAGGTCTGCCACTTTGGTCGTGGTCGTGTCTTGAAATCTGTAAATTTAATTTTCAAATCACAATGTATTATAACAAGGGGTTAGTCAAGATTTGAAAGAAAGAAGCGAAAGGCCTTGTGTTGAAAGGTGAAGAATTATTTCCAGACAACAAGTACAAGGCTGTAAAACATTCAGACAGCCCATGAACGGCCACCACATGATGACAATCGAGTTGGTTAAGTCGCAGAACAAAACTAAACGCGATTTTGAGACGGCAAAGCCGCGTAAAAATTTGTAGCCAAAAGTATGGAAAACTAAAAACTCGACTGGACGCTTTCTGGTACTGCTGCATCCCTCAAATTCGGTCAATGCGACCGTTTGCCTATAATAATAATGATAATAATAATAATAATAATAATAATAATAATAATAATGATAATAATAATAACGATAACAATAATAGTAATAATGATAGTAATAATAATAATAATAACGACAATAATAATAGTAATAATTATAATAATAATAATAACAATAACAACAACAACAATAACAATAACAATAACACTAACAATAATAATAATACTTTGTTTATATAGCGCTATTTTCCTTTATCTCAATAGCGCTTGAGCTAAAGCGCTAGTGTCTTAACTTTGCCGTCAAACACTGTTTAGAATTGAATTTTGAAAGAACATTATTTGCCATCGAATTCCTAGAAAACTCTGTAATTGCTGAAGCATGGTTCCCTACCCACAACAGTGACAAGGTGTGTTTGAGGCGTTTAGAGTCCGTTTTCGCGAAAACTACGTGCGCAGTGCTTTTGACCGCGTTAAAATTGCTGTTAGTCAACTCACCAGAATATTGTCCAGCTTGTCCAGCTACGGATGAGAAGCCGCAAAAAATAAATTAGAACCCAGCAGTAAGTCAACGTTCTTCTGTAATAACTTGATCACTTCCTAAAATTAACAAATCCTGAAGAACTCAGTCAAAAGAAGATGTAAAATAGACCAGATAGTCTCCGTTTTTACGGCAGGCAGTCACTCGATGCCAGGAAGCGAATTTTGCGCTTCTGGGAAGAACTTTTTATCAGTAAAAGAATCATTCCGACAAGCTAACAAAACGACACTCAAACGTTTCCATACGTTTTCATTAATAACTTTGAATGCTAGCGATTTACATGTAAATTATTTTCTTTACATCTGTACAATTACGACTTGATTACAGTTTAATACAACATAATTAATGCCACTGGAGTGGAACAAGCCCAGATAGCAAACAGACTGGTCAATAGAGTTCAACCATATGAAAAAGCTCAATAGTCTTGGACGCCAATAAATAATTTGAATGAATTAATTTATGCATCATTTAAGTTTCACAAAGCATTCCAAGGCTTCCAGTCCCTATCGAGGTAGATCATTGGTCAATCCTGACTGTGTATGAAGATTAACGAGAGCATCTGTTCAAGTAAAAAAAAATACTGACTTTCTCCACATTAACGATTGGTCATTTGCTGTACAATGTCTTCATGCAGCCAGTGTTTCAATGCTGCAATGATGTGTGGCATCACTGAAGCGCGCGCAGCAGAGATAAGCTGGACCAGCTGAATAAACAGGCACTGAGGGTAGTTTTGGACCATAATTTGAGTAACTATGATAACTTACTACACGAGCTAGATAATGAATGAATGAACGAATGAAAGAAACTTTATTGCACTCTCCCAAAAATGGGTTACGTTACAGCAAAGGAGAGTACAGAATATGTTGATTACGGTGTATAAATGTCTACATGGTGCTGCACCATCCAATCTGCGTTCTTATCTCGAGGAGTGCGACGCAGCCGGCTCTTATAATCTTACAGGCTATGCAAAGCTTAAAGTGCGGGCGGTAAAAACCACCAGCTTTGGAGAACATTCATTTACATATCAAGCGCCTTACGTATGGAACAATTTCCCGAATGAAGTACGCAGGGCGGACACGTTGCCCGTTTCTAAGCAGAAAGTGAAACAGTTTACCAGTTTTTAATTTTTTTTAATATACATTATGTATGTTTGTTGTGGGAGGCGCGGTGGCCTCATGGTTAGTGCGCTCGTCTCCGGATCGAGCGGTCCGGGTTCGAGCCCTGGCCGGGGACATTGTGTTGTGTTCTTGGGCAAGACACTTTATTCTCACAGTGCCTCTCTCCACCCAGGTGTATAAATGGGTACCGGCGAACTTAATGCTGGGGGTAACCCTGCGATGGACTAGTATCCCATCTAGGGGGAGTAGAAATACTCCTAGTCGCTTCATGCTACAGAAACCGGGATAAGCTCCGGCCTGATGGGCCACTTGGCTCGCATGCAGACTTTACCTTTTACCTTATGTATGTTTGTTATTTATGCCCCACCCATTTACGATGTCTTTTGACTGAGCTCTGTTTACTAGGCCCTAACGGCCCTACTCCCGGTATAAAATAAATAACCCCGATTGGGCTTATAGTGGCCGTGTTCATGAGTACATAGCCGTTGATTTATTGAAAAAGTTGAATCTTAAAAAAACAACAAGCACAGCTAAATATAACAACTTGGCCCAGTGAAGGTGTGGGCAAACTAACGCCGGCAAATGGAACTGGTATATGAAAATCGCGAGTGAAGCGGTAAGGGGAGGAGGATGGTCAAACTTTGGATGTGCACAGGAGCCTCGGAGAGGCTGCTCCACCCCAGGAAAAACACATCACAGAAAATCATATAAACGATGGAAAAGAAAGAAGCAAAAACCATAGACAGCTGCCCCTGCAAGCTGAAGAGGTGGTTGCAGTATGTTAAAATAGAGTAACAATTGAAGGCTTACTTACCAGCAGCCAACAGCCGATAAAAGTCATAGACAATGCAATCTATGAGTTAAACGGAGGAAAAGCTAGAACTGACCCGAACAAATTTTTTGAACGCGTTGGATTTCCAGCGACCTAATAAGTAAATTTGAGTGTCGGATAAACCGCGGTCAGCAGCCTATCTTCCGCGCCTATCTTCCGTTTCTGCTTCCGACTTCGACAATTGAGTTTTCGCTGACTAGATCATAAGCAAACGAGCAAACGAACCGATTCCGTTGAGCTTCGTGACTCCGCTAACGACAACGATTTTCGATTCTCACTAGGTCGTAAGCTCTCTTACGAGTCCCACTTCGACTCCGTCGTTAGTGCAAACCAGCCTTTAAGCTTCTTGTTTTATTATACAGTAGATTTGCGTACGTATTACTCACTGCTTTACATGTATATATCAAATTTTATTTTGATTTCGTAGGGAATTAATCGGTCTGAGTATTTAAAAGAAACGTATTGATAATTGTCTTAAGGGTCCATTAACCGATCTTTTCAAGCCGTTGCTAAGGAAAATTTATTCTCATATAACCTTATCGTTTTTAGTTAGTTCAGAGTTATTTCATGTGTTTTAACTTTTTCATGATCATCAACACTAGTGATAACGTCATCAGGCCATGCCCATGGTCATGTGACTAATACTGAAAAAACGCAAAGGCTCCCAGGCAAATTACTTTATCGGGATTTTTTTCATTGATTTAACATTTTAATTTAAATCCTTAAAACGCTATGCATAGATTTTGTTTCATTTCTAAAAGGTCAAATTTTGAGAGAATTTCAAAATATTAAAAAATTAGTAGTTTTCTGAAAAACGCATGATTTCGAAAAAGGAATGCATAGCTATGTTTCCAACGTTGGTTTAAT